AGCAGTTGTTGGTCTTGGCTTAATGAGGCAAGGACCAAATATCAATCCCAGATTTTTGGAGTTCATTTTATTTTTTTCTGCATAGTCTGCCACCCGTTTAAGGTGCATTATGAGGTAATGGAGACTGTTAAAATTTGGTGCTGGCAACTGTCTTAGAAGATCCTTGCTTTTTAGAATAATTCGGTTTATTTCTATACATGCACTTGGCCATTTCTTGTCTTGAGGACCATCTTTCTTCAGCTCCAGCTCTTCACTGATATTCTGAAGCTCCTTTGAAAGGTCCATACATTCCTTGTACAGTCGAAATAAAATAAGTGGCTCTGGGAGCTGAAGAAATAAAGTGGCATTAGGATCATCATCTGCTCCATTCTTTTCCTGTCAACAGTCAACTATTATTCACAACTAGCAAGTTCATCTAAAGTTAGCACGTCTCTTTACACCAGTAATATGTAATGCTTATCCATGTTTATCCATGTACACATCTTAAAGGAGAGCCCAGACTGACACTCTCAAAAGGGTCAACCTTGCTCCCAGAAGGAGTACAATGGGAACCTTGTTCCCATTCATGACTGACTTCTCATGAAGGACAGCTTACATTTCAATGAGGTCACACTACGGATCTACTTATCAAATACTTCTGTGTAGATATGGGTCTTTCCTTCTATAGCCAGATTTACATTTCATTTTTACAACATCTTATGGATGTATTGTTTAAGAATAAACAGGTTTAACAAGCAAGGGCACAATTAAAAGAAGAAAAACCTCTCTGAGGGAGGTGGAGGCATAACTAGAGAGGGGCGCACAAGTCCTTCCGTAAGAGGCAGAGCTGTTGGGAAGCATCAGAGTTGGAAAGAACCCATAGCTGAGCCTCTGGCGAGTTTGTAGAGCCTCTATATCACACTGGAGGAGACCGCCTATCTTTCTCTCATAGAGCAGCATCTGGATTCAAATCACTTGTCTCTGGGTCAGCAGCACAACCCCTGACTACTAACTAGGCCACCAGAGCCCCCTTGATAAGGTAATGTTCTATTTCATCAAGGTGAGAGGGGAAAAAAAGGAATGTGAATTATTATAACTGACTCTGTCCAGTTTACACACTCATGGATATGTGTACTAGTAGTTAAGATACAAGGTAATGAAAAGATACATAGGACAAATTTTATCAGCACAATAAATACCTTACTTTTTATCTTTTCTGTTTAGTGGTATATCTCAAGAATATAAACTTTACCTGTCGAAGGTATGATTTCAATACTTCACAGATATCATGAGAGCCAAATTCAGAAATGTCAACCAAGTTCATTCCATTTTCAAAAGCTTGGCATAGCTTTTCAATTTTTACTTTATTTCCAGATACACGATAAATACCCTTGAAGTTAAAAAGAAAATAGTGAAAAGTCTGTTTTAGTACAAATGACTACTGGCACGTATTTAAAATATGTATAATGTGTCTACTTAAATTTTTATTAGTATTTAAGGGAGGAAAAAAGCTGGTCAGGGCCAAATTAAGTCACATTTTCCAAATAAATCTAGGTAAATTCAGTTACTGGGAGGGGGACAGGAACAGACTTTCTCTCCCCCCATTTAATGTCCTCTTTTCATTAAACATATTATACAAACACTTAATGACTTTCATTTTAGGAGATAAAAAGTACCTGAAGACATAAGGCTCGATTTTCAATCTCTAAGGCACACATTTTGAGTAGAAAAGGGATGCCGTCTGGCTCCCTATTTGCAACTTGAGTGAATTCTACTCCAAATAAGCTCATTTTGCCCATAAGCTTCTCATGGCCACACAGAATGACTATGTTCTCCAAACACTTTCGGTGACAAACGAGGAGGCACTAGAAGAAAACATTAGTTTAGAAGTCATTAATTCACCTTAAAACTGTTCACCAACTGGAAAAAACTGAAGATGAGTAATAACATTTAAAAAATTAGTTTAATAAGTATTATTTGTGGGTTTGCAGTATCTTAGCAACAAAATCATGTAAAAATTATGAAGTCTATACTGTAGTATAATTTATCAGAAATACATTTGCAAAAGAGTCTTATCAGTAAAATTGATAATGAAAAAGTGCAAAGCAAAATAAATAGACTATTGCGATTCCGGATAGGTCATACCTCTTCACATTCGAATCCATGAAATACAACAATGCTTTCACAGTCCCGACATTTGTTAGGAGATCTCAATTTGCGAAACTTATGAGTAAGGGCCGATTTTGACATCAGTATTTTCTTAAATGGTCCAAGAGAACTAAGTCCTTAAATAAGAAAAATATTAGTCAACAAGGACAGTAAGAAGACAGAAAAATTACCCAGCTTGATAGATAGTATTTCGAATAATCTTTGGACTTTCAAGTAACTAATATATTACAGAAAGCTAGTAATTTGAGTTTGAAACATCAAAAGAAATGTCTAGTATACAAGGCTGCTCCAGATGACACATTTACCAAATGTTCCGGCTATGAGTAAAAATCACCACCAAATACCAGTTCTTCTGAAAGATGGCATAATATTTTCAGAACTGGCAAATTTATACTGCTAATTATGACGTTTTTATAAGTTTGGAAAGAATGTTATAGAGGTGGAACCATAAAAAAATGTTTCAAAAACATCAGACCTGTATGAGGTGTGTATTATTTGCATTAAAGATAAAGCTACTATTAATTCGTCACAAAATTAGTACTAGCTAGATATCTACTAGTAATCTATGGGAAGTCAGAAATTTCTTCCTTTTACGATGTGATGCCAAGAGTTGTTTGGAAGTCTCAAATACACACAACTCTTTTCGTTTGTTGTTGTTGTTAGGTGCTGTCGAGTATGATTCATATCATCTCTACTTACTAACAAAAGAACTGAACCCTGTTCTATACTGCGCATCCTCACACTTCCTGATACACAAGAGTCCACTGCAGCAGTCATCATGACAATCCACCTAGTTGAGGGGCTTCATTTCCTTCGCTGACCCTCCACCCTTCCCAGCATCACGTCCCTCTCCAAGGAATAGCCCCTCCTGGCAAGATGCCCAAAGTATGTGAGGCAAAACTTCATCATTCTTGCCTCCAGAGAACACTCTGGCTGCACCCTCTCCAAGACCTATCTGTTCTCTTGGCCATCCATATTTAGTGATCTTCTCTAACACCACAGTTCAAAGGTGTCAGTTCTTTTCCTGTCATCTTTATTCACTGTCCAGCTCTCAGATGCATAGTAAGTGATCGAAATGACAATGGACCGAACTTAATCAAATGTACATCATTACTCCTTAATACATTGGAGAGGTCCCTAACTGTAGTTTTTTCCATTGCAATGTGTTTCCTTATTTCCTGACTGCTAGTACCAACTTTGCTAACTGCGGATCCAAGCAAGACGAAGATGATGACAGTTTCAATCTCCTCTACATCCATCATGACAATGCCTATTGTTCCAGGGTTAAGAATCTTTATTTTCTTGACATTGAGATGTAATCCATACTGAAAACTACATTCCTTGATCTTCTGCAACAAGTGCTTCACTTTCTCCTCATTTTCAGCAAGCAAGGTTGTGTCATCTGCATAACGTACATTATTGATGAGTCTCACTCCAATCCTGATGCTACACTCCTCTCCATAGAGACTATCTTCTTGGATAATTTAATCAGCATACAGATTGAATAGGTATGATGAGAGAATACAACCCTGATGCACTCCCTTCAAAATTTTAAACCATACAGCAGTCTCCTGCTCTGTCTGCAAAACAGCCTCTTGGTCCAAAACTCTTTTGTTGTTATTATGTGCCATGTAGTTGCTTGCTACTCATAGTGACCCTAAGTACAACAGCCCTAAACCCTGCTCTATCATGTGTCAATCTTATTATCTCTGAAACACCTACCCCATTACCCCAGTGACTGAGTCAATCCATCTCACTGAGGGTCCTTCCCTCCTACGCTGTCCCTCCACCCTCCCAAGCATAATGTCCCTGTCCAAGGATTGGTCCCTCCTTGCAACATGCGCAAAGTACGTCAGAAAGAGCTCCTAATTCAGGCCATTAATTAACTAGTTGGGCTTCAAAATTCACAACTTTCCTTGTCTTCTTGCCTAAACTGTATGCTGTTTATTAATGAGAATCTTAACAATTTGCACTGCATTAAAAAATTGCCTTTAACAGGGAAAAAAACCTGACTTATAAAATAGACTGCAAAAATTTTTTTAATTACACTGTTTTTCTAATATCCTGCAGTATACTGATTCACATGGGCTAGTGAGCATTTGACTTCTGTGTCATACCAGTTTCTGAAGGGGAAGGTGGCTCTCTCTCATCAAGATCATCTGCAGACGACATGGTACCACTCGAAGGAGTTCGAGGAAGTTTTCGATGAAAGTCTCCTAAGAAAATGATGGATAAAATGATGTGGTCATTTATTAAATCAGCAGTAATAACAGAATTCTTAGAATAAACAATTCCTAGCATCATACTAACTTCAATGTAAAATTGTTTTCATTCTCAACACTTCAGATATAAGAAATTCTGATATTTATTCTTGGGATGAAAAGCAAGTAAACCAAATAGAATATTGTCAAATAAAGTTTAAAAGCTGAGGGCGATATATCCAAATGAGATCTACTGCCAACTTATGAAAATCTTCTCTCCATGTCTTAATGTCTATTATCGGACAAAAGTTGATAAAATAATAAAGTTCTCAATAACATAGCTGTTGAATTTATAAGTATATATAGCACAATCTAAAGTTTTTTTAAACATGTAAATAATAATTTAACATCAGTAATCCAACAGGGTGAAAAGAAAACCTATTGACTGGGAATAAACATTTGATAATAACATCTCAGACAAGAATCACATTACAAAAGTCTACAGAATACTTTTGGGCCTCCATAAGAAAAAGACTGATAACCCAATTACAAAATGGGCAAAAGACATGGAAAGAATTTTCATAGAGGAAGATATTTGAATAGCAAACAGACACATGAAGAAATGCTCAAAATCACTGGCAATAAGAGAAATGCAAATCAAAACTACACCATCTCTTTCCAGTAACAATGGCAGAGTTTACCAGGGCAGTAAGTAATAGATGTTAGAGAGGATGTGGAAAGACAGGAGCTCTCATACATTGTTGGTGGGATTGTAAAATGTACAACCATTCTGGAAGGCAGTTTGGCACTTCCTCAAAAAGCTGAACAGAGAAATTCTGTATGACCCAGTTATTCCACTACTTGGAATATACGCTAAGAAAATAAAAACTGAGGTACAAACGGAGACTTTTACACCAATGTTTATATCAGCGTTATTCATCATCACAAGAACATGGAAACATTCCAGATGTCATGGTACATTCACACAATGGAATACTATGCAGCACACAGGAGCAATGATTTTGTAAATTATTACCTAACTTGAGAGGGACTGGAGAGCATTATGCTGAGTGAACTAACTCAGTTCCACAAGGACAAATATTGTATAAAACTATGACTGTAGAATGAATATAAGGATCTGGTGGGGAGAAGCTGAGGGATGAGGATGTGCAGGTGGAGGGGAATTAATCACAGGGTTGTACAATTTGATGGGTGGGGCAGGTGAGGGAAATTGGAAGAATCTGTCTGGAAAACAATGTATTCAAATTTTGTAAGTAAACTAGTATAACAATAAAAATATTATACTAACAATAAGACACAGATGAAAGAAACTAAGAATAACCCAACCATCCTAACAGGATGCAGGCTGTGCCAGTCAAGGACTCTGCCATCTGTGTGAAAGCTTGCTAGGAAGCAGACTGGCTAGGGTAAGGAAATTTGCCCTTTTTGACATTAACAAACAGTGGGCTATTAAGTAAAAATTCACTTTAATGGAAAGTTTTAACTCGTAGGATCACCATTCCAAAGATCTTTCCACATGAATTACATTTATGAAAAGGAATAATCATAATGTTTTAGAGGTGGTCATTTAGGTTTTGCTTTCAGTATGTCCCCAGTGACTGAGAAATACAAAGGAGGACATTCCATCAGAGCTTTAATTGTAAACTGGCTTCCTTACAATGAAACATTATCTGCTTTGCCTTTAAGTCCAAGGAGTCCTAGTGGTATCCATGGCACATATCAGGCCAACTGAGGTCAGCAGTTCAAATCCACCAGCTGCTCCAAGCAGAGAGATGGGCAGTCTCCTCTAATAAAGACTTACAGCCTGGAAACCTGCTGGAGAGTCACTCGACCAATGGCAGTGGCTTGGTTTATGGTTTTATCAAGTGCACTTTTTGGGTATTTGTCCCAACAGAATCAAAGCAACACTAATTCTTTGAATATTGATATTTCAAGAGAGTGGAATACTGATATTTCAAGAGAGTCTCCTCTTTCCAAGGCAGGCTCTAAATCTACTTGTCATGTGACATGGTTTCTAGATTCTGGCCATTTTCTGCTGTGTTTTCACCGGAAATACCTTTCCCAATTCCCCATTTATTTTCCCAGTCCCCCATTAATTGATCACTAAATGTCCATGACAGTTGCTAACCATTTCTTGAATAGGTTCCTGGAACTCCATATTCACTGATAATGAGTTTTATGTTTATGTTGTTCTTAAACTACACTTAAAATTATTTCACTTGTGCTCCAAATGGGAGACAAACTGTGACTTCATAATGATTACAAGGCTGACAACACTGGGGACACCCTGAACAGCTCTGGGAACATTATCCTCTCAGAAGCTTTGTCAAACAACATTTTAAAACCTAAAAGGATCGGGTGCTTCGGAAATTACCTTGGGTTTTCCTAGGGTGTGACCTGTTAAACCTTTCCTTTGCCTCTAGGTAAAAACGAAGAAAAGTGAGCCAGGAAGGGCTATGAATAGGCAGAACCTCCCTGTCATCAAGGAAGAATTGCCTAATATGAAGTTTTTAGGACCAGGTTGCCTGCTCAAGGAAGCTCCTTGACAGCAGGGAAGCCCAAGGCTCATGGACATCTCCAAGGGATGATCCATCTCCAAGGAAGGCTTGGCCTTCCCATAGAGCTAGCACCCTGAATGTAGACTTCCAAATAACTGTTCAGTGACTCTGTCCACTTGTTGTAGCTCTGTTACAGCAGCATTAGATAACCAAAATAGTGCCTGCCATTCAAGGGCAAATATCAACTATATACACTACTTTTGTTATATGCTATTGTGTCAGAACAGACTCAGAGCAGACAAACACTACAACCAGTTGACCAAGGCTGTAAATCCTTCTCCCATTAACTAGCTGGTGGATTTGAATTTCATGACTGAGACTGCAGTGCACTTCTTACCACTAGGCCACCAGTATACCTATGGTATAGGTAATAACAAAGGAAAGCCAGGGAATAATTAATAACATCTGGGATGATGATTTCCACTGGTGAAAATAGGGCATTATCATCAAGCAGTGTTTGAACACAGCTGCTTCCGCCGCCCCGTTATCATTTTTTTAAGATATAATTTTATCTTTTTAATTTTTTAATTCAATTTATTTACAAAGTTTGAATACATTGTTTTTCATAAAAGCTCCTTCCAATTTCCTTTACCCCACCCACCTATCAATTTGTGCAACCCTACGATTAACACCCTACCCCCCCTTCAATCTTCATACTCAATTCTACAATAATGGTTTTATATAGTATTTGTCCTTGCGGGACTGAGTTAGTTTACTCAGCATTAGTGCTCCCCAGTCCCTCCAACTTAGGCAGTAATTGACAAAATGATTGCTCCTGCATGCTGCGTAGTATTAAATTATATGAATGTACCATAAATTCTAATCCATTTGCTTGTGGTTTGACATCTGGGCTATTTCCACGTTCTTGCAATGGTGAATAATGCTGCAATAAACACTGGTGTACAAGTTTCTGCTTGAGCCTCAGTTCTCATTTTCTTGGGGTATATTCCTAGTAGTAGAATAGCTAGGTCATACGGAATTTCTATATTCAGCTTTTTGAGGAAGCGCCAAACTGCCTTCCAGAGTAGTTGTACCATTGTACAATGATACCAACAATGTAAAAGAGATCCTATCTCACCACATCCTCTCCAACATTTATTACTTGCTGTCCTGTTAAACTTTGCTACTGCTACTGGAGCGAGATGGTATCTCTTTGTGGTTTTGATTTGCATCTCCCTTATTGCCAATATTTTGAGCATTTCTTCATGTCTGTTGGCCATTTGAGTATCTTCCTCTGTGAAAATTCTTTCCATGTCTTTTGCTCATTTTGTAACTGGGTTATCAGACTTTTTCTTGTGGAGGCCTAGCAGTATACTATAAACTTTCGTTATGAGGCTCTTGTAAGAGATGACATTGCTAAATGTTTGTTCCCAGTCAGTAGGTTTCCTTTTCACCCTGTTGGAAAAAGTTTTTGATGAAAACTGGGATTTAATCTTTAGAAGATCCCATTCATCAATTTTATCTTCTTCAGATTGTGCATTTCTGGCTGTATTTGTTAGTCTATACCATAGACTAGAGCTTCTAAACTTGATCCCAGTTTGTCTCCTACAACTTTATGGTTTGGGGCATTACTCCCAAGTTTCTTATCCACCTTGAAGCAGTTTTTTTGCATGTGATATGTGGATCCTGTTTCAGCTTTTTGCAGGTGGAAGTCCAGTTTTGCCAGCACCATTTGTTGAAGAAGCTGTCATTTCCCTATTTGATAAGTTTTGTTTCCTTGTCAAGTATCAGTTGACCATAGATAGCTGGGTCTATTTCTGGCTTCTCAATTCAACACAGCTGCTTTTAAAAATCTATTAAGTTGTATTTTTAAAGCCGAGAATGTTTATAGGAGGCATCTATTTGTCTTTAAAATATACATATTTATGTATGTATATTTTTATATTTACAAAATAGTTCATATGAAAAAGTAGTTAAAGATAAAAATAATATTCTGATTTTTTATTAAATTAAAAAAAAACTCAACAGTCTTGCACTGACTTAAATGTTTACACACCTGGACTTACTGATTCAGAATCCAGGGATCTAGATTCACTGCTCCCACCTGTACTTTCTGAATCACTGAACATTCCAAATGTCCATGACCTTGT